TACAAAACTCCAGCCCATTATAAGTCCTTAGGAATTTGATTTTATGTCATGTTTGATTTTCCATCAATAATTTCCAATTTTTAAAAGTTTCAAACACATCAGATTTGTTTCTTAACAATAAAACCAAACTTTTCTTGAAAAATTGTCTATAATTGACAAGAAATATATGTTCCAACCATGTGTGGGTTCACTTGAAGGACCCCATACATCGGCATGAAGGTATTCTAACACTCTAGAAGACTTATGCACATTAGGGGCTGGAGTGGTTTGGAATTGAACTCAATGTTGCTTACCTAGCACACACTCTTCACAAAAAGGTATTGAGGAGACTTTGTCTTTTCCAAAATAACCGTTTTTATTTAGGATTTCTAAGCCTTTGTTACTAAGTTGGAGTCAATTTTAAGTTCTGAAAATTCTTTAAATTCTGTTTGTGATGATAAAACTGTTGTTGGGGGGGGGGGGGTTTACTCTATGTTTGTGGGCAAGTGTTTCCTCGGGTAAGAGTGAGAGATTTGTGCGATTGCATTCGTGTATCGGCGAGGGTTCACTGTGTGAGTGATTGTGGTTAGGGTTTAGTGTGCGGGGCTTAAATCGGTTAGTTGAGGCTGCTCTAGGTAGAGCTGGTGCCTGTGTTTCCTTTCCACACGTCCGATATATGTTCTAGGGTTGTGCCAGGGGCTGAGCCGAACTTCGCTTTACTGTTCTTGTGCTTTATTTTTGGTTTGATTCAATACAAGAGTTTTAAAGTTTAATTGTAGTGTTTCTTGTTAAAATCAAGTTTTACTATACAAAAACACAACAATTATAATCAATATATATAAAAGAGGTCGGTGTGGGGTTTGCTCCACAATTTTTTTTTTTTTAATTTTTTTAATAATATATATATATAAAAGAGGTCGGTGTGGGGTTTGCTCCACAATTTTTTTTTTAATTTTTTAATAATATATATATATATATATATAAAAGAGGTCGGTGTGGATTCCACTCCACAATTTTTTTTTTTGATTTTTTTAATAAAATAAATATGTAGTAAATACTATTAAGTATATAAATATGTAGTAAATACTATTAAGTATATATTATATAATAGAATTATAATTAATGGTAATAAAAATTTAATAATTTTGAAATATAATTTAACATATCAATACCTATCTTAAAAATAAATTATTATATTTCCTTAATTATTTTCAATAATACTGCAAGTAAATGAACATTATCATCATTATAGGAGTATTTAAATTCATCATGTAAAATCAAATTTCTTTTTCTTATTTTTTGATTTTTTTAATAATTTGATTTTTTTTTAAATTTTTAATAATTTGATTTTTGTAATAAAATAAATATATAGTAAACGCTATTGAGTATATATTATAATTAATAAAATTATAATTACTGGTAATAAAAGATTAATAATTTTGAAATATAATTTAACATATCAATACATCTCTTAAATATAATTTATTATTAATTAAATAAATAAATTAAAAACATTTCAATATATCTCTTAATATAATTTTGTAATTATTATTATTATTATTATTATTATTATTATTATTATTATTATTATATTTGTAATTGATAATATTAAAAATATATTGTTATATTTCCTTATTTGTTTTGGGTAATATTGCAACTAAGGGGTGGATTCAATTCGGATTCTGTAGGATTTTGTTGGACTTTTAAAATTTAGGTGTATTCAATTAAAATTTTTAAAAGTCTTTTAAAATATGGAGGTATTCAATTCAGACTTTCAAAAGTCTTTTAAAATTTGAATGTATTCAATACAGATTTTTAAAAGTCTTTTAAAATTTCGAAGTATTCAACAATTCATAAACTTTGAAAGCCTATAGATTTTAATGGATTTTAATGAAAAATTGTGAAAATTTTGTATAGTATAAAATCTCTCCTCATAAGTTTTAAAACTATTATTATTATTATTGTTGTTGTGTTGTTGTATAAGTGATAAATAATATGATAATATTTATTAATATTATTATAATTTTTAATAAAAATAATAATTTAATACTAAAATATAGTATTAGCAAATTACTATAAATTTTTTTAAAATATATAGTTTTATATTATAAATATAATTTTAAAAATATTATTATCAAAATAAATATGTATTACCGTCGTCTTTTCTTTTCAATTATCGAATAAAATATATTATCATTACGGTGTTATTCTTCTTTTTCAATTATCGAATATAATATATTCTTATTCCGGTGTCATTCTCCTTTTTCAATTATCGAATATAATATATTGTCATTTCGGTGTCATTCTCGTTTTTCATTTATCGAATATACTATATTGTCATTCCGATCACAGTGGAATAAATATTTCAATATATATTTTTCGTTTAACCGTTAATTTATATTTATTTACTTTTTTATTTTAATATTTTTTCAAAAAATCGTAAATTATATTTTTTATTTAATTTATATACGTATTTATTTTTTATGTAAAAAATTTATATAAATAATAATAATAACTAATAAAGAAATATAAAAACTAATTTGATGTATTGAATGATATTATAATACTAAAATTATAAAATTTAAAATATTAATATACAAAATAGTAGTATTACATATGTTACAATGCTTCTACGTTATAAATAATTAATCTTAAATTTTATTTTATAAAAATATAATAATATATAATAACTTTAATTATAAATATATTATATTTATAAAACTTGTATTTTAATAATATATAAGTAACTTTTTTAATTATAAATATATTATCTTTATAAAATTTGTGTTTGATATAAATTTACATAATTATATATATCATAAAAAGATTTTTCTACAATCCCACGAAATCCAAACAAATTCATAAAGAATTCAATCAAATCTGTAAAATTTCATGTAAATCAATTACTTAAATCCATTGCATAGACTCCGTGGATTTTCGAAATCTACATAAATCCATAAACTTTTTAAAATTCAAAAAGATTCATTGAAATCTCAATTGAATACACTCTTAAATAAATATTATCATAATTATATATTTAAATTCATCATTAATGATAATAATGTTTATAATTAATTTAGGGTGTGTTCGGTTGTAAAATTTTAACAAAATTCTATTATTCATCCAATTTTTTCCCCCCAAAAACATCAAATCAAACACCTATTTTTTATTTTTTATATTATACTAAAAATTAATTTTACATTCAAAACATCACATCAACACCTATTTATATCACATCATACAACTATTCAAATTCAAAATTTTTACTATTCAAATCCCAACTCAAAATCCAAACCCCCAAACAAACACACCCTAAATAAATTAAAAATCCATAATGAATTATATTTCATAATCCTAATCCTAATATCTTATATACTTCCACACACACTTTTATCATTACCTACTCCCTTGCACATTTCACTATAATTCAACTATTTTCCGGCTAGAATTCAAGTATTTTAGTATTTCACGGCGTTTATCATCCTGTCTTGCCCATCCTCTAAAACAAGTTATGAATTTTTGCTAATTTTAAATATATTTTCTAATATATATGTTTTATTATTGGTTGGGTAAAATATCTTCACAATCTATCTATATATATTTTTGGTTCCAACAATTTTATTATTGCATTCGAATTGATGTTTTATATCTAATATAATATTCGTTGTATACATAGATGGATAATGAAAGAGCTATGAGAAAATTAGCTCGGTTGAGACGAATAAAAAAAATTCGTCTCAAACAAAATAGACGACATCCAATTTTACATATGGATCGGTTACTACAGAATATTGATAGACAGTGTCAGGAATTATGTCAGTTATATGACATATCAACTATACTGTCGACTTGTTCACCTATCCCTCTAAGAAGAAGGAGGGGAAGAGGGGGAAACACCGGGCAGAAAATACAACATCACATTATACTGAAATTTCTAGAGATGGTATACAATACGAATAATTTATTTTATTTGAGTTTTATATATTGATAGTTAGAAATCGCATGCGTTTTCTATTCATATCATATGCGATATTTGGGTGATTTTGATTGGATTCTACCTAATTTATATGCGAATTGTTTATTTGTTGTGTGCATAGGGCAAATATTAAATTTGACATAATTGGCAGAAAAAGGAAATAAAATTAATTAAAGGCCCAAGAGCCCATCTACAAAATAATTAGGGCATACATTAAATAAAAGGAGGGATCACACGTTTCAAAATAGGAGGACGGCTAGGGTAGAAACGCACAGGAAAGAGCAGGAGACTGACAGATTCATAGACCGTGCAGGAGCAAATCGACAGAGAAGATTTCCCCCTCCCACTATGACTTTATCCTTCTCTTTTGTTCTTTGTTATTTAATTATGGAGTAGACATTTTTCTGGTTTGAAGGGTGATAATGCTTTGGTTCTTTTGTTTTGGAGATTCTTGATTTTCTTTATAAAAGTTCTTTTGATTATCAATATTTGTCTAATTCTGATAATAGCGTTTGTGATTGTTAGATTGATTGAATATTTTGGTACCGATATCTAAATTAGTCTGATAATCTAAAGTCAATTCAGGTAGGATATCCGTAATTGTATTCGCACTTGAATAGGTGATAACCGGGTTAAATAGTTCCTTCTCGGGGGTTAGACAATCAAATCTAATTGCTCATCCTAGGTAATAATTGTTTTGAATTGGGTTTTTCTAGATTACAATGCGGTTAGGCAATATTCTTATGGGCGCACCTAAGTTTATTTGCTTATTTGCTTAATTAGGGGTATAGATTTTATGGGACCTTTTCCTAATTCATATGGATGCTTATATATTATCTTGGCTGCTGATTATGTCTCAAAATGGGTGGAAGCAAAAGCCACCCGAACTAATGATTCTAAGGTGACTGCAGAATTCATTAAGTCATATATCTTCTTTCGATTTGGAGTGCCAAAGGCAATTGTGAGTGACAGAGGGACTCATTTTGCAACAAAACCATGGCTGCACTTTTTTCGAAAATATGGTGTGCTTCACAATGTGTCAACCTCATATCATCCTCAAATGAATGGACAAGCTGAAATCTCCAACCGCGAAGTCAAGTCTATCTTGGAGAAAACAGTTCAACCGAACAGAAAAGATTGGAGCTCGAGACTCGATGATGCTCTGTGAGCATATCGAACAGCATACAAGACACCAATAAGGATGTCACCATTTCGATTGGTGTATGGAAAGCCTTGCCATTTACCTGTGGAAATTCAACACAAGGCATTTTGGGCAGTGAAAAAGTGCAATGTGAATCTTCAAGAAGCCGGAGCCCATCGAAAAATGCAAATTTAAGAGCTGGAGGAGATTCGACAAGAGGCATACGAGAATGCGATACTCTACAAGGAAAAGACAAAAGCCTTTCATGATCATCACATCTCCAGAAAAAATTTTGAGATCGGACATAAAGTCTTATTATATCACTCTCGTCTTAAGCTTTTCCCTGGAAAGCTGCGCTCTAGGTGGATAGGGCCCTTTATCGTTACTAAACTTTTTCCTTATGGTGCAGTGGAGATTCAGAGCTTAAGGACGGAGAAAAATTTTGTGGTCAATGGACATCGTCTTAAGTCATATTACGAGGGATTCCCACTTGAATCTGTAGAGTTGATGTCTCTCGCTGATGTCGAAGTTGAGGACTGAGACGCGACGAAGTCTAGCTCAAAGATTATAAGGAAAAGCGCTTTTTGGGAGACAACCCAAAATCATTTAATTGTTTTCTTTAATTTTATTTATTTTTATTGTTTAATTGCTAATAACACTTTTGATAGTTTTATTTGGTTTAGTCACCGCCTCCAACCTCCGGCGCCGTCGACTTCTTCCTCTCCTGCTCAGTCATCGCCGATCACCACATCCGCTCCTCTAAATGGCTTGCATTGGTTAGTTGTTTTCGCAGGACTCAGGAAAACTTCAAGCCTCCCTAAAAATCACGATCAAATGAAGAGGTGTTAACAAAGCTCCCAACTACTACACCCCCTATGGACTCCAGGGAAGTTCCTCTCTTCTTTTATTGCTTTCTTTACATTGAGGACAATGCATACTTTAGGTGTGGGGAGATTGATGCAAATTTTTGGGCAAAATTTTCATTTTTGTGCTATTTTATGCCTGATTTGTTGTCTTTTCGCATGTTTTTTAGATTAGTCTGAAGTGAGTCAAAGGTGATTTGTGTGATAGGTTAGTTTGGCATGACTAATGACATTTGATTGGTGATATGTTGAGTCAAGTCGACGTTTGAACCCTGTGAGAATTTGAGTCTATGTTCCAAAAGTCACATTAGAAAATAAATTGCATATATTCAAGCTTTTGGAAATTTCTTTCATGTGTGATTTGTAGTGCCCAATTAGATGACATATAACTTGAGTGATTATGCATGTTGAACTTGCAACTATCGAGTCTTGCGTTTTGAAAATGATAAGGGCATTAGGTAACCCATTAAGTCTTTCTTTATTACCCAGCACAATATATTCCCCTAGTTAGCCCATTTGAGCCTTCTTAGTCTATTTTTTTTTATAATAAACTGTTTTTTAGCCTCATACCCTTCTTTTGATTGAGCCTTCTCCGATTTGAACCCTATGTTAGAAAGAATTACTTTAAGTCTATGTTGTGATGCACTTTATTTCCTCGGCACTAGTTAGAAACGAACTTTGAATACGAATAAGTCATAGTATGAAGGAATAACTGTGGGTAGTGTAGCTATATATATATATATATATATAAAGGCAAAAGCCAAAAAAAAAAAGAGAAAAAAAAAAGAAAAAAAAAAGAATACATATATAATAAATACTAAATAAATACTAAAATAATCATCTTGAAGTATTTCTATTTAATTATATTATTGAAGTTTAGGCAGTGAATAGAATAATGATTTCATTGTTTATGCCGATTTGTTCTTCATGTGCTAGCATCGTGTTCTTATTGTATTCTTTTCTGACATATTTTAGCCCTTGTATATCTTTTTTCCTACCCTGACCATAAGCCCCGTTACAACCCTTATTGAAAGTCCCTTTGATTCTCTATGCTAGATTCGAATATTTAAGTAAGGGAGATTTGATTTTTACTCAAGTCTATAGGATAATCTTTTGTTGCACTACCTGAGTGTTGAGCCAATTATACATTTAATTCCTTCAGAAAGCATGTGAGAAAACACTTTATCTTGTGAGGTTGACTTGGTTTGATGTGTTAAAATTCGGATTGAATTGGTTGTGTTGGACCCTCTTCTCATATCGAGTTGCCTGCGATTTCTTTGGCTTATTTCGAATTTATGCTTGAGGGCAAGCATGATCTAGGTGTGGGAAGAATTGCTAGTTAGAAATCGCATGCGTTTTATATTCATATCATATGCGATATTTGGGTGATTTTGATTGAATTCTACCTAATTTATATGGGAATTTTTTATTTGCTGTGTGCAAGATGACAAATATTAAATTTGGCATAATTGACAGAAAAAAGAAATAAAATTAATTAAAGGCCCAAAAGCCCATCTACAAAATAATTAGGGCAAACATTAAATAAAAAGGGGGATCACACGTTTCAAAAGATAAGGACGGCTAGGGCAGAAACACACAGGAAGAAGCAGGAGACTGACAGATTCATAGACCGCGCAGGAGCAAATCGACAGAGAAGATTTCCCCCTCCCATTATCCTTCTCTTTTGTTCTTTGTTATTTAATTATGGAGTAGACACTTTTTTGGTTTGAGGGGTGATAATGCTTTGGTTCTTTTGTTTTGGAGATTCTTGATTTTCTTTATAAAAGTTCTTTTTTATTATCAATATTACTTTAATTCTGATAATAGCGTTTGTGATTGTTAGTTTGATTGAATATTTTGGTACCGATATCTAAATTAGTCTGATAATCTAAAGTCAATTCATGTAGGATATCCGTAATTGTATTCGCACTTGAATAGGTGATAACTGGGTTGAATAGTTCCTTATTGGGGGTTAGACAATCAAATCTAATTGCTCCTCCTAGGTAGTAATTGTTTTTGAATTGGATTTTTCTAGATTACAATGCGGTTAGGCAATATTCTTATGGGCGCACCTAGGTTTATTTGCTTAATTAGGGGTAGTTAACGATCGTAGCTTAATTACCTACACTGTAAGGAAAAATTGATTGTCAGAGCTTGTTGATAACTATAACCAATTTATTGATACTTTAATAAGAATTAATTTTATTGAATTAATGATAAAACACAAGTGCAATAACTGCATCATCCCTTGAGCCAGACATCCCCTTGATAGTCAGTTCCCCTTAATTTAATTGTTTTGTTATTTTATTTTCATTAGATAATAAAATAAAATTTCTCCTTTATTTACTGCATTAAAACACGAAAGAGTGAATCACACAATCCCTATGGAGACGATCCCTTCCCTATATTACAACTATATAGATACTTCAAATTTCGAATTATTATACATATTTTATAATTTATTACATTTTGTACTATTTTAAAATTATATTTACTTAAATTCTTCATTTTGTTTAACAATCAATATACATATTAAATTTTAAAAATTTCACCAATTTATTTTATTATTTTCTTTTTTTTCATACAACTCGTAAATTTACATTTTAAATTAATCTCAGTGCATTTTCAAAATGTTTTAAACAAAATAAATTAATACTTATTTTAGAGTTTAATTTCTAAAAAATATTCAGAATTTTTATAACCTTTATTAAATTAATCTATTAAATTATTAATATATTAAAGGCATCCTGTTTTTTTTTTTTTTTCTTTTTATTAAAAAAATATACATTTTAACTTTAAACTTTATATATTTGTTCAATGTATTTATTTCTCGTACTTTTTTTATTTTATTCAAATGTTTAGGTAACATTTCAATAGTGGTGGTGAATGATCAAATAATAATTAGATCATCACAGCAACATAGCTATTATTCAAGGTTCGTAATTTATTTTTATGATTTCAATTTGTAATAGTTATTCCAAAAATAAATATATATTTAAAAATAATACTACATCCGTCTACCGTCAATTTATTCATTTACTTTTTGTACGCTAATCTTTAAATATTAATTATTATATTAAAACATGGTACAAATCAAAGGAAAAACGACAAAAATATTTCTATTGGTGACTTATAATACTAATTAATGATATTTGTATAAAAAATTATACAAATATAAGAATATTTTTAATGTTAAAAATAATGACGCCAAATACAAATTGATAGATTAGCGGTGGACGAAGATAGTATAATTTTTTACGGTGTAAATATTTTTAAAAATAATATATTAATATTAATAAGAAATTAATAATGACTATAATACTAGTAATTTAATGAAATAAATTTATACATCATTTCAATTCTTAATTTCTGTTTCCATAGTTTTTGCAAATTTAAAAATTAATTATAATAATGGCATTTCCTAACTTATTGAAACAATCAATAATAAATTAATAATTATTACACTTATTAATTGAATCCGTAATTAATCGTAATTGTATTCAGAATAAATAATTTCATTTATTTTTAGAATTTTAAAAAATTTAAATTAATTTTATGTTTTTGAATATTCACTGAAATATATAATTTATGGTAATTTCAATTTTGTTATTAATAAGACATATTTAAAAATTTTAAATTAATTTTATATTTTTGAAGATTCACTGAAATATATAATTTATGGAATTGCAATTTTGTTATTAATAAGATATATCTAAAAATTTTAAATTAATTTAATATTTTTAAATATTGTTTAAAAATTAAATTAATGCTCGGTATATTTGAGATTAATTAAATTAATAGTAGAACCAGAAAAAAAAAAAAAAAAAAAAAAAAGAAATTAACACGTTTTAGCATCGGACAAGATGAAATAATGAATTTATTAATTCTATCTTTTAAATGTAAATATGTAGATTATTTGAATCCAACTGCTGATAATGTATTTATAGCAAATCAAGCTATAGGTTAGCAATTCTAATTTAATTCTTACATTTTCATTCTATTTGTTACTAACAATTTTCTATTCATATTTTGTAAAAATTTTATTAACATAGCAACATAAAAATTTTGCACTGAAATGCGGTATTATTTTCTTTTTTCCCTAACGGATGACCTGAGCAACAAAATTTTATAGTTGTGAATGATGGAGTTAATTTTGATCAACGATCTGCAGATATGTAATTCCGCATTAATTATAACATAATTTAAATTTCCTTATTTCATACAAAAAAATTCAATCACATAATAAAAAAATTATAGTTTATTCAACATTCCAAAAAAACATTTTCGTAATAACAAATACCATTAATTTTATTATACTTTGATTCTCCTTTGCTTAATTGATTAAAAATTAATAATATGATCTATTTAATATGCAACATTAATATTTTGCACCGAAATGCTGTATTACTTTTCTTTTCCCAAACGAAGGACCTGAGCAAGACAATCCTGTAGTAGAAAAAATGAAGTTATTCTTGATTAACAATCTATGGGTATATAATTTTCACATTAATGTTAACTTATAATTTAAAAGTGTGTTTGCTTGGGATTTAAATAGTAAAAAATTTGAATTTGAATAGTTGTACGATATGATATAAATAGTAGTTGGATGTGATATTTTCAATGTAAAATTGATTTTTAATATAATATAAAAAATAAAAAATAAATGTTTTGATTTAATATTTTTTGAAGAAAAAAAAAGATAAATAATGTAAATCCAATCCAATCTCCCAAACAAACACACCCTTAAATTTCCTTATTTCTTACAAAAATTCAATCTCATAATAAAAGTTTATCTTTTACTCAACATTCCAAAGATATATTTTTGTATTAACAAATATCATTAATGTTATTATGCTTTTCGATTCAACTTTGCTTAAGTCATAAAAAATTTCAATCAGTCAACTAATAATATAACTTATTTAAAATGCAACAATAATACTTTGCACTGAAATGTCGTATTATTTTTTTCCCATACCAAAGGACCTGAGCAACACAATTCTGTAACCGTAAATAATGAAGAAGTTTTTTTTATCAACGATCTACGGGTATGTAATGAAGAAGTTTTTTTTATCAACGATCTACGGGTATGTACTTTTCGCATTATTTGTAACTTATAGTTTAAGTTTTCCAGTAGTACTGAATCATAAGAAAGTTTCCAATATTCTTTCCATGGCATTGCCATCCATTGCAACTTCTGAGGGAAACTAGGCAGAGGACTTAAGGCAGCAGCTCTGTGGACAGGACAGGACAGACAAACAAACACCATTGAGGAGGGATCATCCAATTAACAACAAAAACTAAAAATAAATCAGTTGGATTGTAAGAAAGGAGACTACCTTCTTCCGGTGAGAAGCCCGTAAGCGCACGACCCAATAGACGACCTCGAGAAGGCCGAGAGTAAGTAGCTGTAGTGTGGCCACACTACCTCTCCTGAACCAAATAAAAGGGCACCATAAAATCATTTCTTTTGCCGCTCAAATAAAAGATATCCATGGATTCTCCTAACTCATCCTTCCGACTCAGTAGAATTCATGAAATTAATAAATCTATCAAGTTGGAATTCGCACCTAAGTTCAAGTAATTGCTGTGTAGAAATGAAACCAAAATTGTGGGTTCACCATTGTTGAATGCAGAAGCCTTTTTCTCCTCAAGGATCCCGTTACGGCCACTACGAGATCCTGTCTCAGAAATACAGGAGATGACTTCAAACCATATCCCGGATGGAAATCGCTTCCTTCTCCCCAACCAAAGGAGGATTTTCGCATATGGAGTGGAATGAATGATAGATATGGTGGCCTCAATAAGTATGCAGAAAAATCTCACAGATGTGTGCAACATGGTGAAAAAAATATAGAAAACTGATATTGTAGGTAGCAGAAGTAAAATTGGGGTAAACATGAGAGACCCAACAACATGTTGCTCGACAGTATAATCGTAGCTGTCCATTCTGTGGCGTAGAGGATTCCACTTCTTACCCCTGTAATCGATAAAAGTAATTTATCATCATATATGCAAAAGACCGTACTACAACACCTTATCTTTGTTCAAATGAAGAGAGTATATGGGCAGACCAGCAGTGATCTTTCAGAATCATATAGACACACCATTTTAATACCCCCGAAAAAAGAAAAACTCTGATTTATGGACAAAACAATGGATAGGTAGAGATAAAGATAGGCTTTCATAATACAACACCCACAAGCTTCGAACTAAATATGAAATTTGTGAGACTTTCTTGTGAACTGCAAGACCTGGCCTTTACGCTAACAATTAACTCCTATAAAAAAAAATGAGCTTAAGCCACCACAAAAATTTATTCAAGGAAATTGCCATGTAATGAGGAGACTAGAAATATCTGTTACCTGAAAAGTCTCCATAGAGAGGCTATTGCTTGTATCTGGGTTGAATACACAAGTGAAAGAAATAAATGGATTGTCCAGACATGCATTGTCACAAGTGAAATCATGTCGATGATTATAGCTGCTGCTGAAGTAAGCCCAAAAGCTATCCCACATATGGCAAGGACTTTGGTGAAGTGAACAACGAGAGAACCAACAAAAATCCAAAGTGTAGACCATATCTGAATTGCATTCAGAGAAATCACACCAAGAACTCCTGCTAACTCAGTGTTCAACTTAAAACCAGCAGGATTTCCCATCAGCCATACACATCCAGTACGTAGCAAGTTGTTAATAAAAACTCACAGTTGAAGAAAACAATCAATCGATGTTGTCCAAGGAAGCGCAGTCGATATCCTGCAGAGACAATCTTCCTAAATATAGTTCACTAATGTGGTCGGGGCACAGGGGCGCGCACTTCCGGTGCAGACTGTCATGAATCGCGCCCATCAAAGGAACCCAACGCTGCTCATCTAACGGATCGACATTAAGATACCTCTGTAGTAACTCAATCCTGTAAAAGACAGTATCAGTTCTGTCACAGAAATGAGCAACACAGCGCTGACAAGGTTCGTCCGAAGCTAATCTGATCAACACCATTGATAAAGCTCCGTCAACGGGCTTAGGATCCGAAAGCCATTTATCTCCCATCATCTTGACCTCCTTTTCCGAAGGAAATAGAATCACCTCTGATCCATCATCGCTGGAAAGTTTAAGATCCTTAGTGAAATGCCTCATGGTTTCTCGCTTGGTGGCTTCGTGTTTTTCTGCTAATGTTAATATACATGAGAATCGGAGATGGTAGCTAACGATGATTTTAACCTTCCGGAAGTTGTTGCAGCAGCAAAAGAAATCGAGAAACCTCCTCCCGACCCCGGCATACCACTTTATAATATCTTCGTCGTCGAGAACTGTAAGAAAACTGAGGGGCCTCGGACGACCCATGTGGTTTGTAAATCCAACCAACCGAATCGCCCTTCGGATAAGATCGAGAGGAGCATCGACCTTAAAACACCGTCTCGCCAGATCTTGAATTGTTTTTTGTGCATATTTTTGCTCCTCTTCTTCTTCGCGTATCCTTGCTTCTCTCTCCAACTCCTTTTTGGCTTTCGTCGGCTTCAAATACTTGTCAACTTGACGTTGGAAGTTGTCGTACGCGTCGACAAGCTCTCGCGGGAGCTGATCTCGGATCCTCGGTAGAGAAAGAAAATCCCCCGACGACAACTTCCGGTGCCACTCCCATCTATCATCCTCCACTGATGTCAAATACTCGGTCACCACTTCGTCGGCCCATGTCCTAAAGATTTGTCGCACTTCATTTTCTATAGAAAAGTTGAACTTGAAGCCGTTACTTTGCTTTTGCTTCTTGAAGACATGCTTCAATAGCTTCATCCCGAGCTTCTTCCTGTTTCTCTCCCGAGCATTCTTCAACTCCATTAGTCTCACTTCCTTCTGCCTAAGATACTTCTTCCTCGCCCTTTTTGCCTTCTCTGTCATCGGAGGCCGGATGACAGATGGCGCAACAGCCCTGAGCTCCATCCCCATGAACAAAATCTTCTCCGAGACAGCGCTATGGATGACCGTTCTCTGCCTGTCGACTTTCAAATGCAAAATCTGCTCAAGAAACTTCACTATTCTGTTCTTCAAATCCATCGTAAAAGTCTTTGTTCCGGATGTCATGATCAATATCTCATCCAAATACCGGACAGCATATATCTTCAATGGCTTGTAAAAGACACTGCCTGAATTAGAATCCTCAAGAACAAGCTCATTTTCATGGAACTTTGGATTAGATTTATTCATTTCTAGACGAAACTCTTGAATCTCCTTGTCGAAACTATGGAAGTAGATGTTGATCAGAATGGAAGTTAGGGTGCATTCTTGTGGTAGCCCTCGACCGAAAACTGGACAGCTAAGATCAAAGGAGATAACTCTACAAACATAAAATGTTCTTATCAAATCTAGCAATGCATCATCTTCAATTTTCTCCCCTAGAATGGAACAGAGCTTCTCTACTTGCTTAGAACCGAAAAATTCATTATTATCAAAGGCAACACTGAACAACCATGTAGGATTCTCTATGGAATTTTTCAAGTACCGCACGGCGGTGTGGCGGCCAAGGTTTGGGCGGCCGCCGTAGGCAAAAGTGACGAATCTATCATCATAAATGGCTTCGAGTACAAGTCTAAAAGCTTCAAGTACAACTTTGAGCTTCAGATTGGGGACTACGAGTGGCGTACCTGTTGGCGAGTGTGGATGGAGATGAACGCAGCACGATTCGACGTCCAGCGAATTCGTGGCGAGCTGAGAGGAGAGCTCCTCGATGGAGAAGAAGTTTGCCGAGACGGAGCCGGAGGTGAGCGTCGGCGAGTCCGGGAAATGCCTCCGCAGATTGTTACAAGCGGTGAGTAGGACCGAGGGCGAAGCGACGACGTTTTGGAGGATGCCGTGGAATTTGGCATTTTGGTATTGAGAGAGAACTAAGGATTGAAGGCTCGGTTTCTCAAGCGGCTGCGCCTCCAATAAAGCGTGCTGCTCCCGGCGGCGGAGTAAGAAACGGGAGGATAAGGCGGCGGCAATTGCTGGATTAGGTCGTCTTACCGCCACACTCAAGAGCATTTGGAAAAAAAAATCCCACCAAATAATGGGCCGCCGGAGACAATGAAGGAGATAACGACGTTGAAGAACTGTCAATATAATGGGCCTTTGTTATTCCTAATCCAAAATCGACTGATCAATATTCTCTCAACCCAAATCAATATCGAACAAAGAAGGAAACTTACATTTATTACAGAAGCAACCATTCGGACTCAGGTTACCCCGTTATCAAACAAATCGGTGAAGAAGAAGAAGAATTGGTGAAGAAGAAGAAGAAAGAGGAAGAAGAAGAAGAATCGGAGAAGTAGGAGAAGAAAGGAAAGAATCGGTGAAGAAAAGAAGAAAGAGAAGAACCTGGTGGGGTGGCTGCCTTGGCTAGTGCTGCTGCGGCTGCTGTGGCGTGGAGGCATAAAATAATTTATTAGGTCTTAGCCATTAGGATTTTGGGCAAATTTGTATATTTTAAAATTATAATAATATGTTTAACTTAAATTTTTTATATATTATCAATTTTTTTATTAAATAAAAAATTATTAATAATATTTAAAAATACTAATACTAATGCTATAATACTATTATTTTTTATTTTTTATTTTTAATTATATTATTAATATATTAATATTTTTATAATTTATTTGTATTTTTATAATTTATAATTTAATTTAATTGTTTATTAAATTTATTGTTTAAATTATTTTTACATTATAATAATCTAATTAATTATTATTTATATAATAAATATATAATAAATAAATTTAAATAAAATTCAAATTTAAAAAAACTAGAAAATAAAAAAAATATTAAAAATAAATATATATAAACCGACGGCTTATAACCGTAATTGAAACCATCAAATCATAACCAAAATCGTCATACGGAATGTTCGATTTTAATTCAGTATTTTAACAAACTTTAATAGGCTATTTGTAATCGTAATCGGCAGTTTGAACCATTTGGACAAATTTAGATCCGGACGGATAGCGGGTCGCCGATCCGAACTTCTATCGGGGCGAGTCGATTGTGTTTGATTGGATCTCTTCGTACCATTGCCCAAAACTCCACACTTTGGCCCACCGGGAAAATAATTTGAACGTCTGCTTCAAAGTAAACGTCGGCTGAGATCTCCGGCAACTCGTCGGGAGATATCTCCGCCGGAAGCACGCTAGTCGGAGTCGATGCACCGTTAACCTTTTTGAAACCGCCGTCATCTGCAAGCTGAAGGACTCCGGCGGATCAATAATAGAGCTCGATTTCTTCGGCCGGAAAAGCTTCCCGCGGATCATTCTGGCAAATTCCATAGCGATAAGTGTGTGTATCGATTCAATCTCAGTTGCGGAATTGTGCAGATTACAAATTGTTGAAGAAGAAAGGCGGAATCGAGGCTTTTAGACCATCTCCAACCAGGATTTTTTCTATTTTTGCAGGATGGGGAGAAAAAATCTATTCCAACTCACTCTGCAATTTTGCAAAATTTACACACTGCAATTTTGCGAAATTTCCTCTAATTATGTTTAATCCAATAATATTGCTTTTTTTAATCTATATTTGTATTTTTAATAATATTAATATTTTTATGCTTTAATTTAAATATACATTAAAATATTAATAAATATATTTTATCAGTATAATATTTAAAATATTAATTAAAAATATTATTATAATTTAAATGTATAAAAATAATAAAATATTAGATTTTATTTGTAATTTTAAAAATTAAATAAAATAAAATATAAATATTTTTTAATCGTGCAAAAATAGAGGGTATAATTGAAGAAAAGACCTTACAAAAAATAGAGAGTATGGTTGGAGAAAAGACCTACAAAAAAATAGAGGGTATTGGAGATGGGTTACTGTAGTAGACCTACAAAAATGGAGAAATATATTGTAGACCCTGCAAAAATAGAGTTATGGATTGGAGATGGTCTTATGGGCAGAGAAATGGGAAGCCATTTAGTGAGCTTGAATTTAAATTCCATTTTTTCTTTTTTCCTTTTTCACAAATTTGGGTGTGTTTATTTGGAGTTTGGATTTTGAATTGGGATTTGAATAGTAAAAATTTTGAATTTGAATATTTTCATGATGTGATATAAATAAATATTGATGTGATGTTTTGAATATAAAATTGATTTTTAGTATAATATAAAAAGTAAAAAATAAGTGTTTGATTTGATATTTTTGGAAAAAAAAAATTGGATGAATAGTATAAATCCAATCCAATCCTCCGAACAAACACACCCTAATGGTTGTGTCAAAATTTTGATAAGGTCCATGGATCTCAACTCCAGGACTGTACGACGTGTGCAAGCCGTGTACTCGTAGTGGATGGACATTGAACTCCCGGAACTCATATGGAGTGGATCTCCTCCTTCACAACCTCTATCGATCCTATCTTGAAATTTCTAGACTTTATTTTTGTCCAATTTAATACTAACGAAAAAATTATTTCACTATAGCCATAAATAATAAGGGTCTGTTTGGTTCGATGGATTAGTAGGTAAGGGGGTGAGAGGAAAGGAGGGGATAATTTTAAAATTTTTCATGTTTGATTCAAATTTTTTTTTTTTTTTTTTTGAAGAAAAAGGGAGGGAAGAGGAGATAATCTCTTTAAAATATTTTTCCCCTCTAATGAATTTTATTAATTTTTTTTATATAATTATCTATTATATTTTTTTAAATATTTTATTAAAAATTTAAATTTTCAAATTTTTAATATTTATTTATTTTATTTTTAATTATATCAAATAAATATTAATATTGCACATAGATTTAAATTATATTATATATTTTGAAATATTTTTAATTAAATATTTTAATCAAATTTAATTATAATAGTTTTTAACAAATCATATGCATTAGTATATAATTATATATAATAATAATAATAATAAATATTTTAATAATAATTTTAAAATAATTTAGTTTTGAATGAATAGTATTTTCTTTAAAATAAATAATTTATTATCTTTAAAAAATAATTTAATATAAAAACAATATCCACTCAATTGTACCAACTTAAATTCCACTACAATCTTGCATTATAGACATAGCAAAATACTTAAAAAAATTTATTTTATCATATTGGATAAATATATTTTGTATGATATTTTATTAATAAATTAATCGAATTTTATTAAATATTTTTATTTTTTTTATTTATACAATACAAGTACAAAATAGTAAATTTTTTCTACATGGTCTCCTTTTACTTACATAACCAAACATAAAAATACTATTTTCGCCTCCCTCCCTTTTCATATGAACAAGCCCGGCCTGTACCAGGGCGAAAGGGCCCTCGCCCAGAGCCCAAAATGAGAATGATCCAACACTTATAGATATATATTGGATATTTTAAAAAATAAAAGATAAATAATAAATTTAAAGAGTCTCTTTGTAATTTATTTTTTTAAAAAGTAGTGTAGCGTGCAATTGTAAGTGGTTACACTTTCTATGTAATCTCTCGTAAGAACTTTAAAACGAAATTGCAAAGTTGTTCTGCATTGAAGGTGAATTTTTTTTTTCAAGATCGTTTTTAATCTCTTTCATTTTATAAATTTCTTTTATCTTAATTTTATTATTTTCTTTCTTTCTTTTTCTGTTTTTCATCTTCATTCGTTCATCTTCACTTGTGATCTTTTTGTTTCTGCAACCTGCAATTTTGGATAAGACTATTTTTTTTTTATCTATTTACTTATATTCTGATAAGTTATTCATCAATTTTATTTTTTACATCAAAACTAAAATTACAATTTAAAATTTCATAATAGTAAAAGTTTTGTTAAGTGAAGTTTTTTTCGATTTTGTTATACATAGTACAGAATAACAGAATCAATATTAGATTTTTATTATTTTAAAATTCTTAATAGTGTATATTTTTGTTAATGTTTATTATTTGATTTTTTAATATTTATTATATAGTATTTTTTCGGTTGTAGGTATAAGATAAAAAAAATAAATAAATTCTAAATCTCTCAAATTATTTTTTTTTTTCCGTAGAATCAAAGTAACCGCTAAGAAGGTTCAATTTTTTTATTTTTTTATTTTTTTAGAGATTAAACTCTTTTATTGTTTTATTATATTTTTAATTTTATTGTGTTATATACTTATATATATATATATATTAATATACATATATTATTGTTTCATTTACATGACTAATTTTTAGAACTATATACTCCTTCCGTCCCGCAACAAGGGTGACGTTTTCTTTTTGCACGTAGATTTTTAAATATTAGTATTATATTAGATTGTAGTAAAAAAGACAAAAATACGTCTATTAGTATGGTGTAATATAAAAGTAATGGCATTTCTGTAATATATTGTAAGTTGAAAGGGTATTTATTATGTGAAGTAGGTGGTACAATTACTAAATTAGGAAATGGTAACCTTGTTTTGTGACGGACGAAAATGGAAAATGGTAACCTTTCAATTGGACGAAATGAGTATTTTAGTTTAAATTTTGAGATTTTATATATTTTTACTAATTATGTATATTATTTATTATTTTTCAATGCAGGCAGCAAGGTACACGAAAAAAAATTAGATAAATTTTTCAGTAAGAATTTAGATCATTCTACAAGTTTTGACGAATTAAATGATAATTGTATTAAACATTCTAAATCTATTGAAAATTTAAATAGCGAAAATATTTTTGATGATGATGATGATAATAATAATAATAATAATAATAATAATAATAATAATAATAAGGAAATAGGATTAGAAATTCATGATAGTGATATTTTTTATTTAGATATTTATGATCCTAAAAATTGGGATAATCGTGATAGTATACAAAAAATATTTTAATTGAAAATGAGCCTAAAAAAGAATTATGTCTTACTTTTCCATTAGATAAGACTTCCAGATATTTTTCATATGTCCATTACTCTAGAAAATTAAATAATGGAGAAATTAGTGATAGAAAATGGTTAGTTTATTCTAAACATGTAGATAAAATATATTGTTTTTTGTAAAATGTTTAAGAAAAATAATAGTAAATATTTGTTGGCAAATGATGAATTTAAAAATTGGAAACATTTAGTCGATCAAAAGACTTAAACAACATGAAATAATATTGAACATATAACATATAAGCATACTTGGAATGAATTAAAAAAGAAAATGAACATTCGAGACTAGTTTTAATTAAAATATTTTCTGTTGTAAAATGTCTTTCTAAACATAATTTAGCTTTTCGAGGTTCGAATGAAAAACTTTATCACGATAGTAATGGTAATTTCTTAGGAATAATTGAAATGATTTCCGAATTTGATATAATTATGCAAGATCATATTAGACGTATTCAAAATAATGAAATTCATTATCATTATCTTGGTCACAAAATTCAAAATGAATTAATTTCTTTATTGGCTCATAGT